ACTAAAGACTGTGACCTTTGTAGTTTGGTGTTTCAATAAAGTTGATACTGGAAAGATTTTACTTTTTACATTTATCTGAAAATTCCAATTTGTTCTAATCATAATTTTTGTTACTAATTAACCTAGTGTTGATAGTGACTTTTATATATACTCGGTCTCTTTCTTTTGATATTAAAAAACATCAAAACAATTAAAAACCTTGCTGTTAGTCAGAGAAGAAAAGAAAATTATTCAAGCTTTGTTTTTGAGGTGCTATGAACTAAAACAGTAAGTTGTGTTTTGTGATTAGCTTAAACCACTGATTTATTGTATAGATCTTCATTGTATCATATTCTGAATAATTTTGGTCTAGCTCAGTAACATTTTCCACTTCTGTCCCTGTTTTAATTCTTATGATTTCATCAATTTGATGAATAATTTGCTATTTTTAGAGAGGTAAATAACAACAGTTAGTAAAACATAAAATTAAGAAGAAGGAGGGAAATTTACATGAGAATAATCCCGATTTAATATAGTTAAAAAATAAATTTTGTATAGATCAGTTCATTTGCATCAGTCTATTTTCTAATGCGATTGATGTAATTTTATAAAGGACATAGACAAAAGTATTTGCATAATCAATTTACGAAGTCTCTTGTCATTATAAAATTTAAATGAAAGATAAAGGAAAATTGGATTTGTGTAACATGGAGGAGCAGCCACTGACTTAACTTTATTAAAGAATGTTATTTTATGAAATTTAACCTTAATATAATGTGATCACCTTTCAAAAGCTATAAATGATTGGTATTTCACACCCAAAGATATGCACACACTTCTCTATTAGTATTTGCATAGCTTTGCTTTGAAAGGTGTATTTATAGACTAAATTTTGATGAATAGAGTAGCATAGTTCGGAGACTATCGGGTAATTGATGTTGCAATCACATAAACAAATTCTGAAGGAAATTTCAGAAGATAGTTTCCAAAAATTATTTGAGCAATAGCAACATAATTGGATTACATATATCATATCTAAAGGTGACTTGTCTGGAGGTACAATATCTGTTCTGGCTGCTTAAAATATATGAATCTCATTAGTTTGTAATTAGATCTTGAAATATAACACAGTTTGAAGGAATCTTGCATAGTTCATGATATATTTTTATACTCAATGAAATTAGATTTTTTAATATCTGAACATAGAATTCAGCTAGAATAAATAAAATAAGCTCTTAGTAGTTACAGAAACAGGTGTTAGGTGAAACTGCCCTAGTAACTCAGATATTACAGAGCATGCTTCTGGATGCTAGTGCCTCCCATAAGAGCATTCAGGGTTGAGAATGATTCAAGAACGGATGCTTCATATTCAATATGGGGATGTATCTCCACAAGAAGAAATGCAGAGGTGACATAGTATACATCCCCTTAGAAATCAACACATACACGAAAGCAATCATTAAGCACTTGAAACTGAGATGTTCAAACAAGAGCAATTAGGTATATTTGGAAAAATAACTAAAAACAGAATGATGTTTAAAAATACGCAAAAAATAAATTAAAAAAAAATCCTATGTAGAGTTACATGAGATAGAATGAAGGGATCACTGATCTGTTTTAATATTAGCAGTCATAATAATTCTAAATATAAGGCAAATCAAATAGGCTCTATTGTAAAGAGAAAATCACGTGATTTTGTAATGTAAGTAAAATGCTAATACTTTGTTAATTTTCTGTTACATTGTCTTTCATATTTTTTCATATTATGTTATTTGAGATAGCTATTATTTTCTTAAAAATAGTTTTGAATAATGGGAATTTGTCATGATTATTGAATTATAATTAATCCAATTCAGTGTAACTGTGTGGTAAAAATCACCAAGACTCATTATATTACATACATACATTGCCCATTTAATAAATAGCATTATTTAGTAGATCCCATTAGAGATGAGCATCTCTATATAAAGCATCTATTTATTTCAATATTGTCATTTTAAATTCATAGTTCAGACATTTACAATTAGTAGCAGGAGTCTGTGCTATTTGCCAGCAAATAACACTCCCCTTTACCTTATTATTTCTTATATTATTGAAATGGGAGTAACAGACCTATTAGAAGAATAAAATTACTTAAAGAAATTAAAACATATTTGAAGAAATTACTGTCTAACAATACTGTGAATTTGATAAAGATATATGGAGACACGTGAAAGTTTAATTCAAGTACAAATTTGTGGCAAACAAAAGATTATATTTCATTCATAATTTAAACAGATGGAGAAAAAATTGGAAAGATTAATGGCAGACCACAAAATGAATCTGGACTTGGAAGAGATCATTTTGCATAAATCCCATTGATGGAAGGAAATGAGAATAAAAGTAGAAAATATTAATCATATTTTAAATAAATATATCATATATAACAATATTAAATAAGACATATTTAAGAAATATCACTGAAAAAGACATACAGACCAATACATATTTAATTAAAACAAGTTACCAAGAGGTAAAAAAAAATCACTATTCTTTTCCCACAAATATTCATATTCTTTATGAAAACAATTCTTTACAAATCTCACAATTCTTTGTCAAATACTTTATTATAACACTACTACAATACATTTTGTTATATACTTTGATAATTAAAAATTAAAACTGTGGTAGTTTTTACACAAAAGGAATATGTTTTACTAAGTGACAGACTTTCTCTGCTGACATAGTCAGTATGTGAAATTATTTAGTAATATATTATTAAATTGTGTACTGGTTCAATTCTAAAAGTCTGAGCTAAAATCACAATAAAAACATCTGGCCATATCTGAAAATTAAAATATTTTTAAAGCATAATTTAACTTCATTAGTGTTTAGATTCACTCTAGAATACAGTATTTATTTGGAGAATAAATATTTGCTTGCATTTCCAAATGACATTCTTAGTAAGCAGAGAAATATGTAAAATAACTTTAGAATAAGAAATAAATACTAGATTTGCAGATTAGATAAGCAATGTAGAATTTGCTTTGAAATAATGTAATGGATGGGGGTATGAATGAAACAAGACTGTACTGACAATATTGAAACTGGGTATGGATATGGGAGATTTGTTACATTAGTCACTCCACTTGTATATGTGTTTGACATTTTTCAAAGAAATAAAGGAACAAAGAAAAAAAAGAAAATCACACCAAGAAATAGCTGCATTGCACATAAATTTAATTTATAATAGGTTAAAATTAATATTCATTGTGCAAAACTAATATCTTTTGCAATGGCACCAAATTTCTTGGCAGACAACAAAGCAAGGTGTGGAAGTGTAAGAGTCGAGTCAACTAGAAAAGCAAAGCCTGGTGCCGAGAAGGATTGATAATCACACAAAGAGAAAATTCAGTCACAGTTCAGAAATACAGACCGACTCACTAGGCAACCCTATAAACACTAATGTCCATGTCAGGCAAAAAAAAAAAAAAAAAGTAAAAAATTAGGCAGAGAAGACGCCTAACAACAGATGAGTTTGGTATTAAGTCGTATGATTAGGATGCTCTGAAGAGTAGACTAAATGATACTGACTAAGGTAGGAAAAAAATTAGAGTGAGTTCTTAGCATCAAAGTTGGGCTGTAACTATGTAATGATATTATGAAAATAAAACTTGGAAAGTTTATCTACCTTTGTTTCCATTACCAAGGCTGTATTGTGAGTTTCAGACAATATGGTATCCTTGGAGCTTAACGAAGATATTTGTAAGATATCTATTTTTGTTTGTTGCATTGAATTTTTGATCCTTTGAAATCACTCTTTTTATTTTTTTTTATTTATTTATGCATACAAGACCTGGGGTATAGGCCAGAGGTGGGTGGGGATGAGAGGATTCATCAGAGACAGAGTGGGGAACAGAACAGGCAGACTGACTGAAATACAATGCTGAGGGGAGCAGTGGGCAAGGGAAGAGAGGTCTGCTGCGCCATGTGGGTAGCTCCCTGGCTAGGGTCAAACGCGTGCTGCAGTGACTGCAGATAGCTTCATAGTGCTAAGACTTAGTCCCTTGCTCTACCAGGAAGCCCTTGATATTACTCTCTCAAGGAAAAATTCTAAATCAGTTTTGGAGAGAGGCAGAAATCAACTAAGTCTTGAGCCAGTTGAAATAAATTAGGTCTACAAACGCGAGTTCCAATAACAGAGCTAGGTTTCTCCCTTCCTCTCACACTGAGCCCCAATCTATACATTAGTGTCACTTCTCATTTACTGTTCTTGTCTCAGGCCCAAATCCTTTCCCCATCTACTTACCTAAAATGTATAGAGTGCTGAGGTCTAGCCATTTTTCCTGAGTTCAGTCTCTAACGCCTCCATTTTAGGGAATTACCCTATTTGACCCAGACTGATTTACCCCATAAGTGTGCTTGACCTCTAGGCTCTTACTTTCTCTCTACCTAGTGGAGTGCCCTACAACCAGGCAGAAAATACCACACCTTCCCTACCATTCACATTCTTCATAGTACTTGAGTTCCTAAATCTGTGCTTGGTGAATGCTGATTAGCTGGGTGAGGAACAGAGTAATCAACATAACTTTTATAGCTAATTTTAATTAAGAAAATCATGTTCAATGTGAATTACATGTTTTATAATACAGTTTCCTATCATGGAAGGTCCTATTTCTGAAAGTATCATTTTCCTTGCTATTCATTCTTTTTACTTTATTATTTTGTGTTTTTCTCCTCACTTTCTTATTTTGTGGCATTCTTTCTTAATGCTTTGTCTTGCTTATTAAATGTTGCTGTGATATTTTGTGTTACTGGTTTCCACTATGAGAGTTCAATTCTTTTCTCTTTATATTTAAAACTCTTAACAACATCTTAATAAACATCCAATAGTCTAGAATAGCATAATGGGGACCAAGACATAAAAAACTAAACAAAACTGTACCAGTTTTCTGATTGAAATCTGAAAAAAAAAAAATAGACTTCAAAACAATTGAGTCTTCATAATTAGGAACACTGAATTTAATAGAAATAATCTTTACCTGCTGAAGTTGGCTCTTCTTCATCTGATGCTGTGATAAGAAGAAAAGAGATAAGGGGGGCAGAAAGAGGGAGGGAATAAGAGGAGAGGGAGAGATACAGATGGGGGGAATGGGGGGAGGAGAAAGGGGGAGAGAGAGAGAGAGGTTTAGATTGAAATTGAACATAAATATATTTCACATTTCCAAACAATGAAAACAAGCTTCTGATCTACAGTTTTGTTTATACCTTAGAAACCCGCCATTAGGAAATTATATCTAGACTGATTAATGTGTATTTACATTAAATTAAGATGTATAGTCTCTTAAACTTTCAAAGTATAGAAAAGAATATTCAGCTGTCTAAATTTGATTTTCTTTTCCTTTTACAAACAAGATTGACCTTATTTAGTTTAAGTGTAAATTACTGCAAATAACATCAATTGATACATAAATTATATATAAAATATGAATACCTTACCATCACAACTTTGTGGGTATTTTCTACTAGCAAAGTGAATTAAAAGACATTATTGATGGTCATAATTTTTATTCAATAAGATAGAAGTTATTTATATGATAGGGGTTATTAAATCTTAGAGTGATTCAGAATCACTCTGAATGCTGTTTAAACAGGAGATTCTAGTACTCTCTCTCCCCACCACACACATACACACAACTCAAGCCTCAGTGGTGGTGACTATGGAGTGAGGCCATAAAAACCTTCATTTTAAAGGCTCACCCCAAATGGATTTGACACATGTGTTCTGAAGCCCACACATGAATAAGCACAGATAGTCTAAAAAAAGAAAGCATAATATGAAAGCATATTCAACTCAAGCAGTGGTTCCTAATCCCAAATCTATATTAGAATGTCAACCACTCAGTCCCACCTCAAACCAATTAAGTCAGAATCTTTCAATGGCAACAACTTGTTGCCAGTATTGAGGCATTACTAGGTAATATCAATATATAACATAAAGTATAACGCAGTAAGTATGGATCATTTTGATTCCTACTTTACAAAGCAGGAATTTTGAGATTCTGAAGATAATAAACAACTACTGTGTGTGTATTTGGGGGAAGGAGCTTGGTGGTTCCAAGAGAAAATGGAGGAGTTTATCTAAAGTAGCTTCACAAGTGTGCCTTGAATCTATCTCTTCCCCTTAATATTAACAGATACCCTCTGTGAGGAGGTATTTCAGGCCTGTGCTCAAGTGCAGCTTGAATTATCCAGAGTATCATTCTTGAATTATATGTCACAAGCCAGTACTATTTTACTTGATTCCATGAAGTTCTAAAATAAAAATTTACTCAGCTGAATTGCTTATAAAGGAGCTTTGTTCCCAGGTGATTTGTTAATCAAGGTATCACTGTGTAACCAGGGAGCGGTTTCCACTCTTTTCCGTTAAGGTTACATCTGCACAGAGTACACATTAGACAAGCTTACTTTGTGTCCTGACAGTATTTTCCTCTCACACTGTTTGGCTTGTCTCCTTGGCACATAAAGAAATGGAGAGAGCAAACACAGTTGGCTTGCATGGAGTAGAGAACATAAATATTTAAAAAGCTGTTTGCTGCTTTATTATGTCCAAAATATATCATAACATGTTTAAAAGGAAAACTGTCAGCAGCTTCCAGGAATTCCCTTTTAGGAAAATACCATAGGGGCTTGTGAAGTGCTGATTTAGATGAATCATTGTTAATAAAAGTTGCAAATTCAAAATGTGAAAAAATAAAGCAAGCACTTACTGCTGATCTCTTTAATGTGTGTGAGCTCAATTTATTAAAAAAAAAAACAAACAAACAAGCAAACAAGAGATGAATGACTTATTTTATAGATGAACAATTTGTCTAAGGTCAATTTTAATTTGAACTCAGGTCAGTGTCTTTTAAACCCAATTCTTTCACCTACACCTTACTGTCTTACCAATTACTAATTCAGTATTCACTGTAAGAAAGGACAACCCTAGCCAGTCTGCTATTCCCATTTAATATATATTAGAATACAAAAGGAATTCAAAACTCTTTGATGCAACTCAGACCCTAAGTACATGCAGCCTTCTGCTGTCCCTTCACAAAGTAGCTGGGCTTTCAGATACAATAAACACTGGTCACTATTTTTCTGGATAGCCTGTCAGTGTACATGTTCATGAACTGGGCTGGGAGAAGGAGCAGGCATCCTGCACACTTTCCTTTTTCTTTTGCTCCCTTCCTTTCTCCATTGTTTCACAGGATCAGCTGTCAAGTATTATAACTGGAAACATATAATATTAAAACTCAGTGCTCCATTGATCAGACGCTAATCTCTTTGTGGTCTCAACAATTCTGCTGTCTCATGTTCTTGTCTTATGCTCAGGTGTCTTCAGTAATCTTCTGTAACTAGAATTTCATCTATTCCATAACAGTTCTATACCCAGTGTGTTGCAATATCTAGTAGGAAAACCTCTTTATGAAATGTGTACAATTTCTTAGCATGTTATCTATTTTATATCCAGATGCTACTAATTTCAAGTTGATTTATGGATCATTTTGTTTGCTATACTATAAATCTAATAAATTATGTATCAAACATGGTTCTCAAGTGTACAGTTAGCTATGCAATTCATTATTTTCATAAGTAAAGCAATAGGAAATATACACCCTTGTGTTCTGACAATATTTTAGAATGTTTTTATTCAACTTCAGTGAGGCAAAAATAACAATGATAATACTTACACATCATTATTCATACCTGCCTAGATGTTAAATACTGTAAGTGTGTGTGTGTGTATGTGTGTGTGATTACCAAGGCAAAGCCTTGGTATAAATTATCATTTCAAATTTGTAAACCCAGTCATTTAAGTAGAGTTGCCTTTGGAAGTATTCATAGAAATATTTAGAGATTTGGGTTCACATGATCTTCTTAATTTCTTTTTTTTTTTACTTATTTTTTGTTCTTGGCCAATAATCCAACCAGGACACGCCTCAGTACTCAAAAGTTTCCATTATGAACTTTTCCTTATAAAAGCATGAAGAGAAGTAATTGTCTTTTCTGGCCAAAGACTTCAGATAACGCGCCTGATGTGGTCAATTCTATATTCTCAGAATTCGAAAGTATTTGTATCACAAATAGGAGCAGCAGATACTGTATTTACATGGAAAATGTTCAGAGCATTACAGTCTTGGAGTACCATATGCATTTAAGTACAATTAAAATATGTAATATATAAAATATAATGATGCATACATGTAGTTAGAATGCAGCTACATATTTATTTGTATGTTATTAGACTCTCTTATTAGACCAGGAATTTCATAAGTTCAGGACTGTGTTTTTTGTTCACCATCATAGCTATAGTTTTGAGAATAGTGCCTACAACACTGTAGGACTCAATATTTGTCAAATAAAGAAATATGGATAGATCTTTAATACAACACTGTGCTACTCAATAAAATTCAGCTGCTTCATTATTCTATATTACTAGACTTGCCAAAGAATAAATCTTCATTTATGTTTTGATTATATAACTCTAACTATAATCATATGTAATGACTTATATCATCATATAAATCAGGCTTTCTTTTTTTACAACAGAAGGGAAAATTAATATTAGTTGATAAGATAATAGTTTTGATGACTAATTGATCATCTCTTGAAAGTATTAATCTGTAACATTTAACTCAAAAAGCATCCAACTATATAGTTTATTAATGAACAGATTCAGTAACATAGTACACAAAATACATTTTCTATGCTTAGTAGTGATGTAGCTCAAATGAGTTTTATTAGCACTTAAAAAAATGGATCACATTAACATCAATAAGCCATGCATTTGTGAGTTTCTCATTTTAGAAAGAGGTACAAGTAGTGAAAATAAAAAGGAATGAATGAATGGACACTTTGGTTTCATTTTTTTTTCTGAATAAAAAATACAGAAAATTCATAATTTATAAAACTATACCAGAGTATGGGAAAACCAAAAAGTAATATTATTCAAGTAGCCTACATTTATATCCCAGTTAGTACTGAAAACTTTGGAAATATTATTTGGACACATTTCCTCCCCTCTAAAGAGAGCACTAAAGTTCTTTAAGCTGGGTGATTCAACATTACAGAGGATTTATATTTCAATATTTTATAGACCTCCTCAATGGCTCTCAAATTTCCTTAGTTTATTGAATGTGTCCTCCTTCTTTACCCTCCAGTCTTACCCACCCTCAATTCTTCAGTATTTATTTACTGAATTATTTATTTATTATTTATTTATTACTAATTCTCACCACCCTCAATTCTTCAGTATTTATTTCAGTCTCCACACTTATATATTGTCTTCTTTTGTCTCCCCACTGGCTTTTAAACCTAAAGTCGTTTTAAACAAAATGCTAATAATATTTCCAATATTGTTCCCAATTTGGACATTATCCATTATCCTTCTTTTGAGGGCGGTGATGATGCTTTAATTTTGGATAGTTGCAAAATTGATACTGAGAAAATACTTTTGGGAAGCTATCCAATTTTAGAAATGAGAAAATTAAGTTCAGTAAGTGAATTTAATGGCTGCTTTTATATTATTAACCATGTAAAATGAGTAATTTATAACTTAGATTTTTTTTTAAAAGATTTATTTATTTATACAAGAACCAGGGTACAGGCCAGATGTGCGGGAGGGTGAGAGAATTCAACAGAGACAGAGTGGGGAACAGAACAGGCAGACTGACTGAAACACACTTCTGAGGGGAGCAGCGGGTGAGACAAGAGAGGTCTTCCCTGACATATAGGTTGCTCTGCAGCCGACGGAGACCGAACCGGCACTGCAGAGGCTGCAGACAGCTTCACAGCGCTGCGCTCAACTGCCTGCACCACCAAGGAGGCCCTAAAACTTTGATATCTTAAGAAAACTCATGGACAAGTAGAAAGAAGAAACTTCTAAGTGATAAGGCAGATCAGAATTAATATAAATGATTGCTCAGATTTATCAATTTTTCAATAAAATTAATTCATAATCTTTAAAAAAAAAATAGGAGGGGAAACATTCCCACTGAGACACTGTTTTAAAATGACAAGAGAAGTT